TCTATATATACCTACAAAACAGAACTTGAATGACAGAAGAAGAGAAAGATAGTAGATGAAAAATGAGATGCCCATTTCTAAACCACATTATACAATTCAGAATTTTTTGGCAAAGATCGTAAATCTGTCCTCGAGGTTCCTTACGGATACTGAAAAGAACGTTCTTTCCAAGGGGCTGAAATACAATCATTCTGATTTGAATTACTTGGACTTCTTTGCAAGCTTGGAACCTTTCACATCTACAGTAAATCTTACGTAAGACGAACGATTTGCGATCCGAAACAGTGTCGTACAGGCCTTAAAATATTATCCAAATCATTTGTCAACACTATCATATGAAGAAAGGAAGGCATTGAAAAACCTCAAATCTGACGATACCATTGTCATTCTCCCCGCGGACAAAGGAGGCTCAACTGCCATTTTGAATAAATCAGACTACAATGAGAAGATGCTGTTACTTTTAGAAGATAGTTCAACGTATAAGCCTCTTTCCACGGACCCTACGAAAGGAGAGTATTCGTCGATTGATAAAGTGCTGAAGCGCCTTACGGGAACGAAAAAAACTGCCAGAAGACATTGCAAAATCTCTGAGGCAATCCGAACCAAACATTGCCAAGATCTTCGGATTGCCCAAAGTTCACAAACCTGAGGTACAACTGCGACCGATAGTAACATTAATCGGTGCACTCATTTACAAACTTTCTAAGTGTCTATTCCACCAACTTCATCCACTTACGAGAGATTGTGCCACTTCCATTCAGAACTCCATGGAGTTTCTAGAGATATTGAGAGACATCAAAATTTCCGCGGATGAGATAATGGTCTCCTTTGATGTGGTTTCTTTATTCACTTCTATACCACTAGATTTCGCAAGGCAATGCACAGATGAACTCCTAAAGTCCTACGACACGGATGTTCCTGCAGCTGCCCTACTTGAACTTATGGACCTTTGTTTAGAAACCAATTTTTCGTTCGGTCACCAATATTATCAATACTAAAAGGTGCTCCAATGGGATCATCTATATCTGGCTTTCTTGCTGAGGTGACAATGCAGAAATTGGAATCGGTGCCTCTTCCATTAGTTAACCCTAAGTTATTGGTACGATATGTAGACGACACGTTTGTCGTCGTTAAAACGGATCAACTAGAAATACTCCACAACACAATCAATTCAACCGTTCCGGGAATTAAATTCACGTAGGAAAAAGAACTTGACAATAAACTCCTATTAGTAGATGTTCTCGTACAGCGTAAGACTGACGGAACATTACACATCTCCGTTTACGGCAAAGAAACATATGCAGAAATAATTCTATAATATGAGAGCAACAGTCCGATCTCTCACAAGCGGAGTACTGTCAAAAGTCTGATACATCGAGCCAAAACACATTGTTTCGATGGAGAAAGCTACAAAGATGAACTAAACTACCTATTTGAATTATTTTTCCAGAACGGATACCCTAGTGATTTCGTACGTCGATGCATGAAACAACAAGAGATAAAAACAAAGGAACTAAATAGTTCCAATCAAGCGCCCAAAGCAAACACTTGGCGAATCCTTTCTTACGTCAGGAATGTGTCTGAACTTGTTGAAAGACACTTGAGGAAACACCAGATAAAAGTGGCGCACAAGCCGACGACTACTTTACGCACCCAGCTTTTACACCCTAAGGATAGGGTTGGCTATCTCAATAGAAAAGAAGTCGTCTATAAGATCCCATGAGATGCCTATGGTGCCGTATATTGTGGCCAAACGGGAAAATTTGCCTCTACACGCATCCACGAACATCAACTTGCAATTATGAGGCGAGAACACTTGTCTCACATGGCCATGCACACTCTTGATACTGGGCACACTTTCGCGTGGGACAAAACTCGCATCGTCGGAGTTTGCCCATCAAAAAAAGGCCGTGAGTTTCTTGAAGCCATGCACTCCGATGAGTCATGCATTAACAGGTATATCGAGTTAGATGACACGTACAAAAATCTCAGAGAAAAGTGGAAGAGACGAAAGCCGATCAATACGGACTGACACATACGACGGCAGCTTACTAGCTGAGGCACCAAATGAGTATTGATTTTGTAGCACGCTTGAAATTTAAATTGGTTTCTGAACATTTAATCTAGTCTGACGTCGACAGGGGGAACCGACTTCGAAAATTTACTCAATAAAGTTTTCTCTCTTTCCCAAAGAACGTATTTGATTTCAAATTATATTTATTGGGATGCCTGCGTTCCAATTCATATATATATATGAGAAGAAGAGGCGATCTCGGGAACCATAGGTTTAATAGCCTGACGTTTCATAAGCAAACAAGCTTCCATCGTCGGAGGTGGGTTCTGTACGGCGCCTCACAGTATTTATGGGTGCTGAGCATGCGGGAGTGTTGTCGTTCTTACTGCTATTCGCGCAGGATCTGCTGCGGGGAGAGGAGTTAGTTGCTGTCGTGCTGGCCGGTCCCTTCCTCGTCTCCTAGTCGGGTGGGCTGAGTCGGGATGGCAACGGTCATTGACCTCGTCTGCATTACCGTTAAATGGCCATTCATGAAACGTCATGTTTCTGCATTTACGAATGTGGCTTGTGAAGTTAACAATAATGCCCAAATCCACTGTTTAATTTTATGAACCACATAAAGTCTCCTCTTAACACCGTAGAGAAATGCATGGTTTTCCGTACATGGAAAATATACAGCTTGTAGTTTTGAAACCCTGAATACAAGTGTAACAGCAGGTCGGGCTCTAAATTTTTCGGAAATTAGAAAAGTTTTTTTAAAGCCGAATTTTACTCTTCCTTTGAGTGTAAAATTGGACGAAGACGTAATATTCTACCGAATAAGTAAAAGAAAGAATAGTTTATGTATGTTTTCCATGAAATATAATTGAATTTTCAGGGGCATCGAAAATCAATGACACAATTGCTTACTAATTAAGTAGTCATTTTTTGCAGAGTATAGATCTTGCATGTAGCCGAAAATAAGTCCTTTCGAATGCTGACATCCTGCGGTAACTGGATCATTCTAGATTCATGCTGCATCATGATTAGTTTTACAATACTACTTAATTTATCTTTTCAAAACGAGAATGCATTTCGAAATTTTAGTTGACATTTCATGAGTTGGCACATCTACTGTATATCCAGACAGAGAATGCGGGTAATCGACGGTAATTACGAAACTAGTGCCCAGAGATAAGGGTCTGTTTCTGACATCATCCTCAGTTATGGAAACAGTCATACTGCGGCTCATAAAGGAAGCTGCGTCCGAAATATTGTCCACTGGGCCTACGGTTATTGCAGTTATGACGATCTGCTGAAGAGAGAACTAGGTTTTCTATATTGGTTACTGCGATCTAGCGGATATCCGATCAGTTTTGTGAAGAACTGCCTCAGGCGTCAGACGCAACCTCGAGCCTCCTCCTTTAATGTACAAATAGTGACGCGGAACTTCTTCTCCCTGCTCTATATGCAGGCGACCCCAGTAATGACCGCCCGCCAACTAAATCAGTTTGCTATCCGCGTTTACCACAAACCTGGATCCTCCTTGCCTACAACCTTGTCTCCAGTAAAGCATTATATCCCCAAAGAAAAAAGGAATAACGTTAT